CAAAGTATATACTTGGACAAAGTACTAAAACGGTTTAGTATGGAAAATTCCAGGAAAGGAGAGCTACCTATTCAGATAAATGCCAAATTGAGTAAGATTCAAAGCTCCAGTACAGATGAAGAAATAGTTGATATGAGTCGAGTCCCTTATGCTTCGATTGTAGGATAGATTATGTACACTGTGACATGTACCCGTCTTGATCTGTCCTTTACTTTAAGCATGGTTAGTCGTTATCAGCAAAATCTTGGCAGAGCTCATTCGACAGCAGTAAAGAAAATTCTCAAGTATCTGCGAAGGAAAAAGGATATGATTCTAGTATTTGGAGGCAATGATACGTTAAAAGTGACTAGGTATAGTGGCGTGAGCTTTCAGACAGATAGAGATAACTTTCGTTCTTATTCTGGCTGGGTTGTTCACATTAAATGGTGGAGAAGTTACTTGGAAAATTTCCAAGTAATATATGGTGGCTGATTCTACTTGCAAATTAGAGTATATAGCAGTAAGTGAAGCATCAAAGGAATCAAATTGATTGAAAAAGTTTATCGGAGATCTTGGAGTAATTCCAACCATTCATGAGCCAGTGGAACTTTTCTGCGATAATGAGGGTGCGGTTGCTTTGACTAAAGAATCGAGAGACCATGACAAGTCAAGACATATCGACATAAATTGCCATTACATCAGACATAGAGTAGAAGAAGCCCACCTTATTGTGAAGAGGATATCATCATAAGAGAATCATGTAGATCCTTTGATGAAGGCTCTGAGTAGCGTTAAGCATAATCAGCATGCTATGAGCATCGGTTTGAGATATGATATTAGTTTTAGTAGTTAGTTGAGTAGTTTGAAACTTGTAACAAAAAAAATGTAATCGAATTTTGGTGATTAAATGATAGAGATTGTTTATGAGTTTTTTTTACTGCCTTTGTCAATTGGTTATTCTTGTGTTTCGTTTTGCATGTTTTACTTCCCAATAATTTTTAATTATTCAAATTCCACAGTTACTCCTACTTTTGCAAATAAGTAGTGAATTAAGATTGTCATGAATTGGATTGTAGATTGTCTAAGGAGATTAGACATAACAATTGTATTGCTACAACATTCATGAGTACTTAGAAATAAAGATTTAAGTATTGGATAAACCCACGCTCAGAGAACTATTTCATGGATTATATCTCGAGTAAATCTGAGATGATAATATCTTATATTTTTAAAACGAAGATATATGAGTTGTAATTTACAAGTGGGTTGTATTGCTTCAATTGGATTGTAGATTGTCTAAGGAGATTAGACATATCAATTGTATTGCTACAACATTCATGAGTACTTAGAAATAGATATTTAAGTATTAGATAAACCCACACTCAGAGAATTACTTCATGGATTATATTCCGAGTAAATCTGAGATGATAATATCTTATATTCTTAAAACGTAGATATATGAGTTGTAATTTACAAGTGGGTTGTGCGTTGGTATTGCAAAAGCACGTCAGTAACATGATGTTATAAAACGCAGTATCATGTATAATTTGATGAGTAAAGGATCCACACATGTAAGTCAAATTTTATTCGTCCCTTTTGCCCTAACGGGAAAAACGATATCTTTGGGCCCCTCGGTGATATGGTGTTGACTTATAGTGTTGGGCCCAGCCAGTACTCAATTGATGTGTTTATTTTGAAGTCTTATGTTGTCATCACAAATAAGAAATCGGAAAACAAAATTTTGGACAATGAGATTCATTCTAATCCATGTCTCATGTCTGTACGATATCTTGTAGAAGGGAAGAATATTTGATCACTTATCTTAGGACCAAATTTTTGTTTAGTTCAGAGTTCGGCAGTTGCTATGGAAGCACTTTGGTGTTTAATTTAGAAGTTATACTGGTAATTGCAGTTATAGACTTATCCAAGTGGGAGACTGTTGGATTAGGTGTCTAAGCCAATAACTGAATTAGTATATACTTGAATTATTAGCAAAGTCATTTTGGGTTGCTATCAAACCTAGTTATTGAATAGGATGACTTTCAAAGAGAGATACTTATTTATTAATTTATTATGTGGTTAATAAATTAAGTAGAAATCAAAATAAATAATTTATTTATATATTATGAGAATAATATATTAATTAGAAATAATATTATTTAATTATAACTTAATCAGAATTAATTTTGAGATTAATTGGAGTAGTTAAAAGTGGAAGGACTAAATGTGAAAATGTTCAAAATTTTAACACTAACCAATTCTAGAACTTCCCTAAGGGGGGGGGGGGGGGGGGGGAGGGAGGACGAATTCTAGAAGGGTTCTAGGGTTTCCTTGGGCATTAAGGGAACCTTGGATGCCTTAGGAAGCAAGGAAAGGAGATAAGGCTTATCTAAGGAAACTTGCCTTATCCAAGTTCCATTAGTCACCTATATAAACCCTCCATGGGGTTTATAATTTCGTCCATCTTATTCCCACAAGGCATAGCCGAAATTTCTCCATCCCCTCTCCTCTCTCTTTAAGCCTCTTTGTTGCTAGGTTTAGGTGTGAACCATCAGATGCATGAGATTTCTATTGCTAGCTTCCTAGCGACTACAAGAAGGAATTTATTTGATTATCTACTAGTATAATCAAGAGGTATGTTTTTTCTAAACCCTTTTGTTATTTTCGAAAATACTAGGTTTCTTCTAGGGTTCTTGATGTTTAATTGGTTATTGCATTCAATAGTGAAAACATAGATCATTTAGGTTGCATACAAACTTAGGGTTTAAGATTTTCCGCCAAAATATGATTTTTGTAACCTATAAAACTCATCAGTTGGAACATACATGTGTTGCCTCCGATGTTACAAACTTGTTCATCCACATCTTAATCACCTTCGCTGGATAATGGGTGAGTGCACCAAACATCCCCTTGGACATAAAAGTATGTATAAATCATTTGATAACGTTAATATATTTATATACGTTTATTTACCTCCAAGGTCATTACGTTTGATATACATGTGTTAAATCGTCGAATGAATAACTTCACTGAGCGGTGTTGTGGATAATTCTTATTCAACAACCAATAACATGTTGATTTCATTATAAATACCTATTGTCTTGAAATTGAAATGGATTTCAGGGAAAAGGCTATTACCCATTTTTCATGACCAATAATGTCAAGTTAGGCACATGTATTCCAACTACTAGAATTCTTGATTGCAATTTGAAGGCTACCGAAAGTTACTTTAAATGTGAACATTATATACATTTTATATGTTAGCCAGAACAAAGTTTCCACTATTCGATTACAGCTAATCCTAGTCTATAAGTTCTTATGCACATTATGATAATAATACCCATAGTATGAATCTACGAACACATTACTAAGGGAAAACTCTATGAAACCATACATTTTCTTTATAAGTGCAACTTCTTTAATGTCCCTTAGACCTTCCTTTAGTCTCATCAGGAACCACAACCAAGAATCGACATTTGTACGTCGGCGATCTCAAACGTTATGGGCAGTAATTGATGTTTTCCATTCTTAGAAACCGCTATGAACATATAGTGTAAGTACTCCCCTTTCAGAAGGATATAATCTATAAAGATCACTAGTAACATGGTAGCCAGAAATGTATGAAGTTGCAATTTAAGACACTGTTAGAGGTATCCCTTTCTGTATAGTTTATCTTCTCTTATTACATACTTATGCACCTTTATCAACGAGTTTTCCTCCAGCCTTATGTCGTGTACTTATTTATATTCGATGTTCCTCTCTTGCAAAACTTCCACTAATACTGGCTTAGACAGGTGAGTGAACGCAACTGAGGCTAGTTTACTAAGTGTATCTGACTTCCGATTCAATGACCTTGGCTTCTCATTCACTACCTCATCTTGTGATATGTACAACTTTTCCCTTTCCAAGAGCTCTTTTATAGTTTTAGAAGATTTTCTTACTAGGTTTTTGAAAAGGTTTCTAGGGCTTCAAACCATAGGTGAAGGTTGTCACCAGCAGTCCCTCGACTCGGAAGGTAAAAATATATGTACATAAAATCATCATGGATGGGGAAACGAAGGTTTGATTTTGTAATGGTTTTAGGTTTTCATTTCATTTGATTTGGTTTTGGTTTCTAGGATATTAGATTTTATTTTAGTTGACTGTGATTTTCGTTTCAGGATGGATTTTAGATTTAATTTAAGGTACGATTTTGGATGACTTTGGTTTTGGTTGCACGTACTGATTTTGTTTTGGTTGCACATTTTGGTTTCATTGACTTGGTTGTCAATGTTTACTTGTTATGGTTGTCGTAGTTGAATGACTTGGTTGCCAAGATCTTTTAAGACTGCCCCTATTGGTGAGCCAAAGTTATTGCTCACCAATAAAAAAATTAAAAAAATAAAATTAAAAATGGGGCAAAGTCATATAATCTGCTCATGCCCACGGACTCAGCTCACAATTTCTTTATCTCTGGGGTGTCAACCACTCAAGGAGAGAATTATAATAACTTTTATAAACTAAAAGTAAATTTGAAATAAATATATTTATCTTTATTAAAAAATAAAATAAAATATACCAAAATATATAATTTATTTTTCTCTACAAAATAAGATTAATATTGATATAATTTTTTAGTTAAAAATTGGATTGAATTGAATTGTTAACGAGCGATAAAATTTTGATATGTTTTGGTTGTGTATTATAATGAGAGAAATAATATGTTTTGGTTGTGTATTATAATGAGAGAAATAATAATTTTTAATTGATAACTAGATGGGAATCATGCGCGCCATTGGCGCTGGTTCCTGTATTTTTTCTTCTTTCATGTTATATGATGTGCTACAACATAATATTATAATGATAAAGACATATTTAACATACAAGAGGTCTTTGGATAGGGCTTACATAGAAATTTAGGAAAGAAAGTATTTTAATGCAGTAACATATTATTTAGAGCAAAAGATTATAAACAAACAAACAAAAGTAATACTTTCTTTTTTCAATCAAACCAGAAAAGTTTCATATAGTTTTCCAAAATAACCGGTTTGACTTGTTATATCAGCTTTTAAAGTATAGTAAGGGTACTTTGGTCTTTCAATGAAAAGGCAGGATGGAATTGAATTCTTTCTATCCTCCCATGAAAATAATGAAATCCATCAAACTAAAAAACTAAATTATTTTATATCTGTTATTAGGTCTGAATATATGGGCTTATTAAGAGAAAAAGCAGTTGTTATCACAGCTGACAAGTTTCTGAATTGGAGTTCAGGAGCCTCAAACACTGCTGACTGCTGAGTCACCTGGATCAGATAAATAAAAACAAAAGATTTATTTTTCTTTTTAACATAAATAACAGGCATTTAAGATATTTGATCAATACTGGGGGGAGGAAATTACAATATTGCCCTCGGCGCCTTATTCTCTAGCAAGGTCTTGTTGTGAAATATTTTTCCAAAAAATAGTAGTAGTAAATATATTAAACAACCAAATGCCAAGGGTAGTTATGACAATTCACAAAATTCCACAACCATATACAAAAACCAAGAAACATGTGGGAACTTCCTGTTAGGTAAGCAATGCACTTTCATTTCTTTTTATTATGCTGGTGTAAATAAAAGTGGATGAATGAAAATGTAAAAGAGACATACCTCAACAGTAAGACACAGCAGCACTGCAAGTCGTTTTACTGTGATCCGTACATAGTACTTTGAGACAACCCGAATATTCTACAGAGATATATAATGAACAAACTGAAATTAACCAACTGACATTTATATTATACCAAATAGCAATATAAGAGAAAAATAAATTATATGTAAATAACAGCAAAGTAAAATATAAATATAATTACATGCTCAATTATTCTCTCCTGAAGATCCTCAGCAGCTTTGTCGCCTAAAGAACCACATACCATATTCTTTTCGTTTTGAAACTCATCTTTGCATGTATTCCACAAAGCAGTCCACTGAACAGCTTCCATTGTGGTCACTTGTTTTAACAGACCTTTCAAACCACAAAAACAATCATCAGAATGAATACTTCTTGGATGAGAGCATTAATGTCTTTTGGGTATTGCCCAAATCCTAAGTTAAACATCTATATAACTTTCTGTCATTCTTTTCAGTAAATCTTCATGTTGAGGAAAGTATAATAAAATAACAGAAAGAAAAAATTGGTCACCAAGTTTTAACATTTTTTATGACCTCCAACCATATTGAGCAACAATTACATCATTTTAAAGAGTCTTTTAAAAAATCTTTCATTGCCATTGACTGAGGTTTGATCATTACCCAACGGAAAAATGAAAAACTTATGACGGTCTACCAAAATTACACGTATACCTTTTATGCTATTATATATTACATATAAATAGATACAAGATTATTGGGCATCAGTCTTCACAATTTTTTTGTTGTAGCACATTGACTAAAATCTGAAAATCTCATTAGAATAGATAGAATTTTGTAAACTATTATATAATTGAAATTTATGTACCTTTCCAACGATAACAGGTGAATTTCCAATAGGATCAATATTGGTAAATGGTAATTGGCCCTTTTTCTACAACATCATCAATATCATCTCTAAATCTTGTTATTCTAAAAATCAACCTTCCAATTCTTCATCAAACCTGTAAGAGACATTTCAACAAACATATAATGGGCATACCATGAAGCTAATAAAATAACAGATACCATGGATTTGTAAAGGTTGTTACCAACGTCACAAAGTCCAAAAAGTAACTTCTACGAAACTTGTACCTGGGATTCAAAAACAGAAACCAATGTTTCATTTTTTGATTTGTTTCTTTGAGTAAATCTCATAAACCAATAGATGACCAGTTTCAGTTAGAAACTACATAAAAATTATGAAAATTCACTAAAAACTTTAACAAATAGCTGGTGGGCAAATGTTTCAGCATCTAATCAAAGTTACCATACTATTCCAAACTCCATCAACTGCCCTCTTTGATTTTGAAATGTCGATGCTTGACTTGGAAACAACAAATTTAGAGATCCACCACCCTTGAGAAAAAATCTGTTTAGTCAACAGAAACTGTAAGTACTCTACACTCAAAAGAAAGACTTAAATAAGGAAACTCTAAAAACAAATAAACTCCTAATTAGATATTCAGTCCGATTCCTTTTCTTATAGACAGTTCCACTCAAGCATAACATCAAACAGGTAGTGTGCACTTATGTAAAACACATAAAGTTTAACAAAAAAACATGTACCCCTTCAGATTGAAATTTGATTGACGAACCCTAGATAAAAAGACGTAGGCGGTGGTGACTGGTCTGACGATGAGTACATCTGAAACATCTATCAACGATTTTTGACTGCACGGAAGAAGAAGAACAATTAATATGAACAGTAAGAACATATTTAAAGAAAATCATCCTAAATTGTTTGGATTTCGTTGAACACCTGCCACTTTTTGGGTTCTGGTATGCCTTCGATCTTCATAGCGGTGAAGCAAGGTGATGTTGGCGGCTGTAAACATAAAGCGTGATATGTAAGCAGCAGCTAATAAGCAAAAGGAGAGGGCAGAAGGGTAAATAAAAAAAATAGGATTCAAACCTTTTACCCATCAACGAAACCCTAGACTAACACCTAAACCCTTAATCTCAATTTCAGAGTCGAAATTCTGCTCCCTCACTACAGATGCTCCTCACCACCGCAGCCTCTTGACGCCGATTTCAGGTGTGTACTTCGATTTCATAAACCCGGAAACAACCACAACAGATCCACCTTCTTCATCTGAACGGAAGAAGAAGCTGATTGAAGAACAATAACGGTGGTTGCGGCGGAATATGATGGGAGGAATTTGAGACCTACGTGAAAAAGAACGCAGCAGCGGATAAGGGTTTCTTGCATTGGAGAGGGAAGGCGGTGGTAAAAAAAAATCTTAGATAAGAAGTATGAGAAAAACGAAGATAACGATGGAAAAATGTATGGCGGTTTGCGTATGGGGGTTTGTGCGAGAGAAAAGAAGAAAAGTTTAGTGGCAAAATAAGGAAGTCAAAAAGGTTGCGTGTGATAATAACAAAGCAAAAAAGAAGCGGAACGTATGTGGCCAAAGTACTAAACGAAGGAAAAAAAAGTGGTAGAAATAAGAATTGGCAAAGTTTCCTGTTAACCACCATTTTAGCAAACAATTATATATTAAATTTATTTGTGAATAAGGATAGAAGGGGGAAAAGAAAATTAAGATTGAGATGGGGTGGTGGGACCCACATGTATATGTTTATTTAATATGTTTTCTAATAAAATAAATAAAATAAGAAAATATATAAATGTTATTTTCGGTTTAATACACACTATAAGACTATCTCCATAGCAATCCAACCCAACCTAAATTTTTTATTGAAAAATTAATTTTTTTTCTTTCCACCTATGCAACCCTATCAATAAAATTTTCACCCGTTAACAATCCAACTCAAACCAACCATTTATTATAAATAAAAAAATTAAAATTAAATAGGAAAAATATTGATATTATACACTATTTAAAGAGAACTTTTTTTTTATAAAATTTAGTATTTTTTGCTGATTTTATTAAGATAATCTTTAATGTATAAATTACAAATCAATAAAAAATAGAATATGACATATAAAGAAAAAAAATGAAGTGAGCATTATGAGGTGGGTTGTGACGGTGTCTTGGTTCACCATTAATCATTTAATTTTCACTTTCTTTATTTAAAAAATTAAGGAGCTCGATTGTGATGGTGACCTAGTTTACCATTAATCATTTAATTTTTGTTTTTTTTATTTAAAAAATTGGTGAGCCGCTTGTTTAAAACCCCTCCAATGGGGTAAGCCTTATAGTAAATACATAACGAAACCCAACCAGATGGTCCGAATTCGAATAAATTAAGGACTAAACCATAGGGACAATTCAATATAACGTACTCTAAATTCTAATACATCAAGCATTGACCATTTCTTCAACATGCATATGATGTGGGATTGATGCCCCTAGGAACCTTCTTTATTTTTTTTTTATATTTTTTTTTTTTTGTCTTAATATGTTATAATTTTACGTAATACGATGCAAAATAGCATCAATAAACAAGAATGATGTAAATTGCATGAAAAAGACACTTCGGTCAAAATTTGGTCTAAAAAATCTGTCCGTCACTAGTGAAATTCCACCCCTAGCTAGGCTTGCACAAAAAAACCGGTTTACGATCCGAACCGGTGGCCGAACCGAAAACCGGTTCACCCTTGAACCGGTCCACTGTTGAACCGATCCGATGTCGAACCGAACCGCCGGTTTGTAGTGATTAGGACTTCTAGCCATTCGAACCGGTTTTGAACCGGTTTATGCTGAACCGGTCTAGAAAACCGGTTTTGAACTGATTTTGAACCGGTCTAGAGAACCGGTCTTGAACCGGTTATGAACCGGTCTTGAACCGTTCTTACAAACTAACGATGCATATATTAGCCATGATATCCTAAGAAACAAAGCAAACATTGTAAAAAAGAAGCAATTCCGTCCGATTTTTTTGAAATGGTTCACCGAACCGGTTTTGAACCGGTTTAGGAACCGGTTTATGGTGAACCGATTTGAGGTGAACCGGTTTGTACTGAACCGAACCGGTTTGTATATGTTCGAATTATTTTGGTGATGAACCGGTTTGAAACCGAACCGGTTTAGGGGTGAACCGGTTTTTGACTTCGTTGACCAGAACCGAACCGGTTTTTTGAACCGGTCCGGTTCAAAAAAAAACCGGTTTGTGCATGCCTACCCCTAGCTACCTAACTTTCCACTTTATCACGAAAATGTCATCATGCCATTTTCAGTCGTTGCTCAACAAAATCAAAGGCCAAGTTATATATATATATATATATATATATATATATATATATATATATATATATATATATATATATATATCCTAATTCTAATAAATAAGTACAACTCTGCCACGTGTCACTCTCTAAGGACCCCCAAAATCGAGTTTCCCGCTCATTTATTCATCTATATTTACGTAAATGTCATTCAATCCAAATTAAATCAAAGTTCAAACTGATGCAAAAAATCCGGATATTTGAGCAGTCAACTGCATTCAAAATATTCAACCATTATTTTTAAGTGAATAAAAATTATGGAAATAATTTGAAAAAATATGTTAATCAAAAATCAGATTCGAAATTCACGATTAAATTTGAAAGTTTGTTTATTTTGATTGCAAATTAAATATATTGCAATCATTAAATCCCTAAAAATCTGCAGTATTCTTCTCAGCAAACGTAAATACCATTTATACAGTTATTTTGTTTTTACCATTCTGCTCCATAACAATTCTGCTTCATAGAAACCACAGCAAATGTATTCTTCTTCATTCTTCTTGATTCTGCAACGCTTCAATAATTAAATATCAGGTTAGTGTATTCAAATATCAAAATTACAAATATTTCTATTCCCTTCATGGTCTTATTTATCGGTATCTATCACGTTCTCATTGTATGATTGCTATTCTTCTTCTTCTTTTTTGTAATTTTTCTTAATCGTCTACTTCTTCTACCTTTTCAGTTTAAAAGACGAAAAACTAATGAACATGACAAGTTCATTTTCTTTAAAAAAATAAAAAATAGTTTTTTTCAGATCTGAAACTTTACTATTACATTATTTTTTTTGTTTTGGTGTTACATTTACTTTGATTTGCTGTTACATTAAATCTAATTTATGATGTCAATTATTTTTACTTTGTCTATTTACGTATTAATGTAGATGTATACGAAAAAACTAATGAACATGAGAACTATTTTTCTTTAACATGATTGTTGTGATCCAGCTTCAAGTTCATTACTACAAATTAGTGAATTAACCCATAATTCTGACATGATATGCCAAACCATTGGAGTTGACCTACAAAGTTATTACAATTCTAAATGGTCAGTCTTGCACAGTAACTTTTGTTTTGATGGTATGAAATTTTAAAATTTGTTTGTATTTATCTAAATACAATCTCAATAAAATGATTAATAATAGCATACAAGTTACCCTACGTATAAACAAGGGTCTGTAAGAAATCTACTCATTTGGTTTACACATTAAAAAATATATATTACTTACTTTAAGAAAAAATTATTAGGTGCTGATTTATAATTTTTCTGTTTTAATTGTTAGTTAGGATGTTCTTTACGTTAGTTGCTGATTTATAAATTATTAGATGCTGATTTATAAATTATTAGGTGCTGATTTATAATTTTTCTGTTTTAATTGTTAGTTAGGTTGCTAATTTTCCTTACAATTCTATATGGTTTAAATTTCTTGCAGAAAATGAATATAGGAAATAAGGTTACCTAAATAACATTGACCAGATAGATGAAAAATCACATATCAAGGTTCGGGTGCTTAAAATTTGAAACTTTGTCAGAAATAATAAAGTTTGTTCGATTGAAATGATCCTGATGGACGAGGAGGTTTGTTGTATTTCATATATTTTTTATTCATCATTCAATATTAGACATGTTTCATGAAAATAATAATTTTTAGTTTTTTTTTAAACAGGGTACACAATACCATGCTCGTGTCTTCAATTAGAATTTCTCCAGATTTCGTCATCTTTTAAAGGAAGATGAAAGTTATATAGTTATAAAACCCAATATGGCTGTTGTTACTAATGGTTTTAGTTATACAGGTCATAAACAGACCTTAACTTTGGATTGGAAAAGCATCCTAAAAAAATGTGATGCTTTCTCGGGTCCGGTCAATGGATTTATGTTTGTTGACTTTAATTCTATCATAGAACAAACATGCCCAAGAGACACATTCTTTGGTTAGTTATAAAATATTAATAAAATCATTTTTTATCATTTGTTTTTTTGGTTATAAATTTTATTATTTAAATATTATGATTTTAATTCAACAGTTTATGTTGTGTTATCTGTTGTGTAGATGTTATTGGACATATCGTGTCATTTAGGCCTCTTGAAACTTCAAATCCAGTACCATCCAAGCATTATATAAAACTCACTCTTAGCAACCTAGAGTGAGATTATATTTTATTATTTATTTATTATTTATTATCTTTAATTAATCACAAATTAATATTAATATACGATTTTTTGGTTTATTTAGTTCTGTACATCTGAAGGTTACTATTTTTGGAAGTCAAGCATATCAAATTTCAGAATACCTAAAAAATAACCCGACGGTTAATTGTGTTGTTATCGTGATGCAGTTTTTGAAGCTAAACATTTGGAATGGTTTGTATTCACTCTTTATATATAGATGTTTATAATTACTGTTTTTATATAATTTTTATTAATTGGATATACATTTTTTACAGGTATTGGTGAAGCTAAAAGTCATTTTGAAGTAACGAAATTGTTCATAAATTCTGACATTTATGAAATTAATGAGTTTAAAAATAAGTTAGTTTCCAATTGTTTTTTATTTTTTTATAATGTATTTTAACTTAAAAAAAACACAAATCCTAATATTCTTGAATTTAAATTAAACATCACAGGTTGAAATGTCATGACAATTTTGGTATAACTGAAAAAAGCATAACTACACTTCAAAGCTACTCTTCTTCATATACAGATGACTTTAAGGGCAATTTTCCATTAAAAACAGTTTGTGAGATCACCGAACCAATTAAGGTATATTGCATTATTTGATATGTTTTACATTTTATTTTTGCATAATTTATTTAATAAGTTTTACATTTAATATGATACAGGAAATGAAGTTTTTATTAGTTGCTTCCATTGTTAATATAAGGCAGAATCTACCATGGTATTATGAAGCATCCAAAAAATGTGGAAAAAAAAATAATCCCTGTTCCCAAAGCCAATCATTCGTATACCAACCCTGAGGGAATTTCAGAAACTATGGTTGTCGAGTGTACAAATGCACAATGCAAAAAATCTGAATTTCAGACAGTTATTAAGTAAACACATATTTATTTCAATTAATTTTGTCAATCTGTAAAACAACACTAACAATGACATAATTTTTTTGTTTTAGGTATATAATTCCAATCAACGTACAAGATTGTACTGGAACCATTGGATTGACTCTTTTTGATAGGGAAGCAAAGAGGCTGTTAAATATAAGTGCATACGAGTTGAAAAAGATACATGATGCGGTATATTATTCATACCTTAAAATCAGAATACATTTACTTTTTTTTAAAATTTATTAAAATATATCTTACAGGCCGGAGACAGTGATGCACTATTTCCAATGCAACTTAACGTGTTGAAAAACCGCAAGTTTGGTTTTGTTGTAGATATTACAGAATACAATGTCAACAACTATAATAACATCTACACAGTTCTCAGAGTTACAGAAGATATGTCCATTGTTTCTGAATTGGAAAGTAAAATAGAACTTATGGTATGTAACCTTTTATTGTTGAAAATTTACAATTCTTTACTGTTAAAATACATAACGATTAACATATTTCCATTTTATTTTTTAGAGTATTCAATCTGTCTCCTTAAATCAAGTTGCTTTGGAATCAGATGATGTTGTACAGCCTGTTCAAAAGGTTTTTCAATTCCTTTTATAAACTTTTATTTAGATTAGTTTTTATTTGGAATTAAACACTTATTATTATTTTTTTTTAAATTAGGATGTGATCTCACAAACAGATGAAAGTTTTACACCCTCAACAGTTGATAAGTCAACCGCAACAAGTCCAAGCAAAATATCAGGTGATTTGAAGCGCAACCTCCAAGAAATTTATGATGTTGATTCTGGAGATGATTTAAGTTCAACTAAGGCTAAAAGAAAGTCAACCGGAGAGGAAACTCCACTCTTAATTCCAAAATTGGAAAAGTGAGTTGCTATTGGTTATAACACACATTTAATATATTTGATCATTTGTTTTGGTTTTAAAGATATTTTGATTGCTTGGTATGATTTTTATTTTGGGATATTTAGGATGTGAAATATTATTGGTTTTGAATATTTTTGGATATTTTTATTGTTTTAAAGTGGACAAGTTAGTTGATTTTGGTTTTAACTCAAATTAAATATATTTGAAGTTTATTTGCTTGTAAATATATTTTGAATTTTTTCTTAATATTTAAAATTTTTGGCCGATATTGCCTATGGGGTTATTATTGTTCAAATGTTACATCTCATCCAGGTTGTTAAGTAGTATAAGGTTTTTATGATTTTTTGGCTACCCCTTTTAGTTAAAAAGTATAATGCCTTTGTTGTCTCTTCCTTTAAGCATAATGCTATTGTTGATTTTCCCCTTTGAAGTGTATTGCTATTCGTATCTACTAGTGTAGTAGTATGTTTTATTTTAATATTTAATTTTTGTTTTGTAAATAGTTTTTATTTAGACTCTTAATTAGCAATGATTGGCTCTTTTATTTAAAAAGTAAAATAAATGAAGTCTAAACTGTTATGTCTTGATAAAATGACTATTTTACCCATTTTACCCCTATTATACTTATAAAAGTTTACCTTATTATACAAATGAAAATTGCTTTACATTTGAATTATATTGTTATAACTTGGTATATTTATCAAAGTACAATTTTGTGATAATAATAAATGAAATTAGGATGCTATAATAATCAAAATACTTGAAATACATTTTTATTTCTAGCATTTAGCTCAATATTTAAACAAAAAATGATAGTGATAATAATACCTGTTAATTAAGAAAAGGTGCTGAAACAGAATTCAGTGAGTATGAGCTTAACTTATAATCTCTTTGCATAGCCTGTAGAAAATAATACAATGAATTAAAACCGTATAGTTATCCCTACATATCAACTTACTTTTTCGATAATATTTTTACAGAAGTAATGACCTGAATTCTTTCAAACTGAACTCTCCCTTCCAATGTAACTTCTTTACTTTCACTTGTACAATACTGTAACAACAATGAGTAAATTTAAAGTAGCAATGATTCGAATCAAAAAAAAAATTCCAGATTTTTTGTTTTTAATAAACAATTTTCCGAAAATACCCCTAAGATCTTTTATATTAAAGGTTGCAAATGCTCTGAATCTAATTGCAATTCATTCGATAAGCACATAGGCATTCAAACTTCTTTTGCTATCACAGAAAAAAAAAACACATTGTTGTAATAATCCAGAAAAAGTACAGGTAAAAAGAATGCAATCAAAAACTTTAACATAACAATTTACTTGAGTAAATTTCTTTTTATATATGAATTAAAAATTGAATAAGAGGATCATGTGTAGTCTCAGCAAAGACACCCTTTCCACCAGCACACTCCATCTCGATACTTAATATGCAAAATGGACCCATTTTTTAAAATTATCCTTCTGGAGCATGGCAAATGAGTTATGAATAACTATTACTTTTGTCACGATAATTATGTTATTTTTATTAAATAATCAATAACCAATTCTAAACAAAATTTATATCTTTTATTTTCTTCAATTAATTCATACATTTTTGTAATCGTGTCAGCATATTTACTGATCTTCTATAAATTTCGTATATTCAAGATTCTATTTCCTAATATTCTATACTCCCTTTTTAGATGAATATCTTATATTAAACTAAATTTCAGTTGTAATCTTATAAATCCCAAAAAATCAGGAACAAAATTTTATCCAATAAAGATGCAACAACAATAAAATCATAAAATCAAAACCTTTTTCCAATATATATATATATATATATATATATATATATATATATATATATATATATATATATATATAACTTTACCTCAGAATGTGAAACCGAAAATTTTGAAACTCCTCATTCGTCTTCTTTATGTTTCAATTGCTTCTGCGATTCTTTTTTCATCAAACTTACATCAGGGTGCTTCATTCAAGTTCTAATCCTCATTCCAGTTCACAAATCAACTGCTTTTCATTTTAAAGCCGTCTTACTTCCTGCAAGATTTCCATATCCGTATGTCAGGTTAGTATTATGAGTTTACATTACATTGAAATATTCAATATTACAATTTATAAGTTATCAGAATTATTGAAATATTATTTTATTAAATAATTAATTTTTAAATTGAATTCAAAAACAGCACCCGTGGGTTCCACGGGTTTTAACCTAGTATATATATATATATATATATATATATATATATATATATATATATATATATATATCGGCCGCCTAGGCGCTAGACGACCTCCAACCGCCTACGAATAGGTGTTAGAAGGTTAACTAATCGGCTTTGGTCAATATCGGTCAAAACCGGGCCAATTCGGTCCAAATCAGACAAAATCGGACCATTTAAATTTAATGAACCCACCAGCTCAAAGGAGTCGGCTAGTCTAAAATTTAATTGGGTTAGGTTTTCAAAGGAGGGAGCTATGCTTTTATATAAATGTTTTCCCTCATTGTTTTATCCCACCGGCGATGTGGGATACTCAATCAACAAAACCGCATCCCTCCTTCTCTTGCAATAAATTGATATGTCTTCTTTCTTCTTTCTTGATGCGCTATTGAAGCTGTCGAACAAAGAACACCCAAGAAGAAAAAAAACAGAAACACCGTCTGCTGCTTTCGTCTTCACCTCAAGCTTCGTCCTCATCTCTCTCACCTGCCACTGCTACTCTGTAGCCGCCGACTGATACTCATTCATCGTCATCTGCTCAATCATCGTCACCGGTCACTACCACACCCAACACCTCTGCATCCGCCTTCTTTTCTAAAATTGAAATTTATATGAAGTCTTTGATGGTAAGTTCTTCAATCTCGACTCAAATTAGTAGCAAGAACAGAATTCAACGGGTATGATTATTGAAGATCATATGTTTTCTTGTTGTTTTCTTTTAAATTCAATTTCGACTCAAATAAGTTCTTCATTTTGTTTTCTCGTTTTTTCTCAATGATTATTGATGTTATGTCTTCTCCAACTTGTCAATTATAATTTGATATCTTCTATTCTTCGTGCATTTGTGTCCGACCTGGTGATTTTTCGTTACAGATGGAGGGATTGTATCTACATGAAATCTTTAATAGTTTTGTGTATGAAACCATCTGCCCACAAAGCGTTCGATCAATTGCCTGAGTGAATATTTAATTGTTTTTTGTTACAGATGGAGGGTTATGCATACAAACACTAATGTATTAAGAAGATTCATTTGGAAATATGTATGGAAATGTGATGTATTAAGAGGATTCATTTGATAACTTGATACATTTGTATGAGTAGAATGGATTCTTTTGTTTCTATATAAAGAGGAATCCTTTGTTTCAAGAATGTATATGGAAATTTGATGTACTGAGGATCAAATGGGTTTTTTGTAATCATAGTTTGATGTTATAATGTTATATTAATTATTTTTAAATAATTTTTTTAATTGATATAATGTTATATTTATTAATATTATATTTAATATAATATTCTTAGGATTAATGTTATAATTATTAATCTTTTAATAAATTTTTTAATAATTAATGGTCACCGATTAAATACCCGATTAATCCCCGCCTAGCCGATTAATCCATTGACCCCAGTCCACCGATTAGCTTACGTCGAGCGATTTCTACAACCTTTAATATATATATATATATATATATATATATATATATACTAGGTACTTTTAAAAGCCGTGCTAAGCACAACCCACAGTTAGTCCAAATACGCATTGTTATTGGTTAGTAATGGCTTCGGTAAATAATTAAAGTCGGTTAAGTTTTTGGTATTGGTCGATGGTCCAAAATAACATAAAAAGGAAGACAGGTTGATATCAAAATTGAAAAACAAAGACTATATTACTATAAAAAGTGAAGACTATCAAAACTGAATCTTTAACATTTTTAAAAGGTTATTCTTCAACATTTTAAAAGGTTATTCTTCAGACAATATCTAATATTATTTTTGTACTATATGAACCAATGACACAATCAAATGTAAAACATAAAACATAGCATGTAGTTAAAAAAGAAAAGACAAATTTTTGGAAAAATATATAAAGTGCCGATGATGATAATTTACATTCACATTTTTAGCCAGAAAAATTGACCCATACTTCATATCCTCTAAGTTTTGCCTCCAAATCCTTATCAATTTAATGACCAAATCGACCCCGATAGCAATCTCCCTAATCTAGTGACACAATACAACTGTTGAAACATTACTACAACCCAAAACCTTCAAAGGAAATTGAATGAAAAGAAATAAAATCACACATTGAAAAATCTCATATTTAATTTTATAATAAAAAAGAATCTACATAATTTTATTTACCTTCCGCCCTTTAAGCCCAAATATGATATTCTCCTGCAATTAAGAGAAAACCTCCACCCACAAAGAGTGAAAGAACCCCTTTCTATACTTTCATATTTCTGAAAGACCCAAACTTTCATACTTGACAATATAGTTACTCCAAAACATGCTACATGCATATTTATAAAACATTATCTTACATTGATAAAGTGATTACAAAAGATTGGATACAAACCGACTATGTTTTAAGATTTTACATAACTACCCAGGATATTGTAATTTTATACAAACATAAACTGAAGTACAAAAGCACTATTACAAACTATTCTAAGTCTTCCAACTATACTGGGTGCTTATTGCCTGCATTATGTTAAAACATTGGGAGGGGTAAGCGATAACGCTTAGTGAGTTCAATAATAAATACAATATAACGTTATGCCATATATATACTTTAATATGCTAGACGCAAAGAGGAACAAGGAACAACAAAGGCATAATGCGAAAAGCTTTCCATATCAATCAATGACTCGATTCAAAAATATACAATCAATAAGATATAACAATTTCCATACTTGATAAACATCAATAACGCTTTGGCCCAAATGGCACAGAAGACATACAACTTCGGATTAACCTTTTGGTAGATTTCAGGTTTTCACGCCCTGTCTAACCTTCTGTCAATGCCATAGAATAGAGTCATTCACTTACTGGGGGACATGCTCTATATGGCCAGAGGCTACATACCAGTACCACCGTGAATCTGAGTTCTTAAACTGATCACATGGTCAAAGGTATAGCTTTGCTATCATAAATAGCATAAATAAAAATAACACGGGAAAATACTCAGGAATATTATTCTACCGAAGCCAAAGTGATGCCTATGTCATACACTTCATGGTCAACAGTTCATACCAATACCTAAGTGATGCCTATGTCATACACTTCAAGTCAGAGGTACAACCTTGCTATAAAAATAGCGGAAACAACAACTCGAGATGATAACATGGAAAAGCACATAGCACATATAACACATAACATACAATTGCTCCTATATATTAAACTCACATTGAATTAACCGGGGGTCAAAATAATAATTTGTGCAGCATTTCGGCTCTAAATATGACTTTCGTCGTTGAAAACCGGGAGTTTTCTTGAAAACCGGGCTCTGCGAAGGTAGAGCTTCGAAACCGAAAAGATAAATTTTTCGGGCTTCTCGGGAACTTCAGGGCGTGTTTCGGGCATTGGAATTAATCCCGGGGCTTCGGGGAATGTCAAAATAATAGAAATATGGAAAAAGGGGGTGAAAATGGCAATTTTCCCATTTTCCCCGGGTAATCTCGCAAGTGATCTATTTATAGGGGAGGAGATCCGGAGCTTCGGATCCGAGGCTAGGAGGGTCAGCAGCTGCGAAGGCCATGCGGCAGCAGGAGCTCGGTTCGGAGGCCAGAAGTCGCGCATGCGAGGCGGCCAGGTGCGAGGCTCGGAAGGGTGACACGGGGCGAGCTTGCGAGGCACCAGCTCATCAGACGTGTCATCGACTTCGGACAGATGGAAGCCTCTTAGTGGACCGGACTTCGGTCCAATGGGGAAAGGGGTGACGACTTCGGACCAATCAGAGGGTGCCACGCGAGGCTGCGGTCCAATCAGAAGATGCTACGTGGATCAACACTATTCATGCGAAAATTAAATGAAAAATGTGCCCAATCTTGTAAATTCCATAACTTTCTCATACGGGCTTCGTTTTTGACGTTCTTTATATGCACGCGTAGAGAAAATTATGCTCTACAACTTTCGTTTAGACTTCGTCGGAAAATTTTGAATTTATTTTTATATTATTATTTTTAACAGACCGGGACTGGTAAATCCGTTAAAAATTCATAACTTCTTCATCCGACGTCCGTTTTCATCAGACTTTTTACCGTTGTACTACTAATGACGAGACCTTCGATTCTCGTTTAGGTTGTGTCGGCTAAAAATCACTCGATCTAAAATTCGAGTTTTTAGCTGTCTACTGCTAAGCTGAAACTTAGAAAAATCATAACTTCCCCATACGAAGTCAGATTTTGGCGTTCTTTTTATCGAACTTCTCGGTTTAACGAATACTACGACTTTCATTTAGATCACTAAGGCTAAAAAGTAATTTATCAAAAACTCACTTTTTACGTCATTCGGCACCGTGCCGGTTTTATCGCGGATCTTCGATTGGTCATAACTTCTTCGTTATAACTCGGATTTCGACGAGGTTTTCGCCTACATGTTTCTAACGAGATTATCTACAACTTTCAATAATAAAATTTTACTTATTTCAAATTTTATATTTTTGCTAAATTTCACTATTTGGCTTTTAATTGGAATCTCATAAGACTTCCAATATTTTATGAGTGATTCTAAACATAGTTTTACCTTATTTCTAGTAAAAACTATCTGTTAGAACTCAACACTCAATTTCACATAATATTTCATAATATTTTTAACTTTTTGGATTACATAACACGATTTCAAAACGTGTATGTTACAAAGAGTACAGTTGTGATGTTATCCACTGGAGATTTTAATTATACCAATAAAATGAAAGATATATATATATCTATATATATATATATATATATATATATATATATATATATATATATATATAGTGGAGTAGAAGACACGGATAATAAGTCATGAATTTTCCCCACTCATGCTTTAAAAAACACTAGGGTGTTTGGATAGGGAAAAAAGATGGTGCTTATTGCTCAGGGGCGGATTTAGGAGGGGTCACCGGTGGCACTGGCAACCTCTGACTTTTCCGGCCGTAGTGGAAAATTTTTCGAAATTTTTAAAATTTTTTATTTTTTCTATTATCGTGCAACCCGTAACTCTTCCGTGCAACCCCTAATGTGAAATCCTGTGTCCGCCCCTGTTATTGTTTATTGCTTATTCCCACCACAATAAGTTAAGTTTAAGTGTTTGGATAGGAATCCTTAAAAATCAGCTTATTGTGGTAGGGATAAGCTAAATAAGCTGATTTTAATAAGCATCTCCCTCATTGCTTATTGTTTATTGCTTATTCCCACCGCAAATAAGCTAATAAGCTATAATCTAATTTATCCAAACACCCCCTTAATTTTATATCCCTGATGAACATTTTGTATGTGAAGAACGATTAGAAATTTTCTAATAAAAAATAGATCTAGAATTCAAGGAAGAAATACTAAATGATAATAGGGAAAGTTCTTAAACATGGAATGTTCTTTTTAGAGGCTTGCCAAATCCATCTATCCATGGCAAAAAGATCAAAAAATTGTAACAACCTATCACGAAAAATAAGAAAATTGTAAATTTAGTAAACCCAAATGTGGTACATTGTTGAATGCATTAAATCATCAATGGAAACCTCAATAAAATAAAAAAGATTGATTAAAACGGAGGAACATACCACACTTGTTAGTGATTTGCTTGACCTTAAGTTCAAGTATCTTGACACCAATTTCCTTTAGTAATCTAGTTGATATACATTATAATTTATAAGAAACTTTTTAGACATTACTTTGCCAAGATTTCCCAACAACCAACCGAATGGAAGGATACGGAGAATGTTGGAAGGGTATGTGTTTTTATTTTTCTTATCTTTTAGTTGTAACAAAAATTGGTAACTGCTTCACTTAAAGCGTATGACAGTCCTATATCATCACAAGCTTCTGATCATAGAGGTACCCTTTAACAAACTCATATCGACATGAAATTGTGCTTGTTACATAATAAAGACTCAAATATGGCTTTACACATGTAGTAATATTTCCATAGAAGTTCATTCTTAATTTCTTACAGAAGCAAATCAAAAACGAACATGGTTCCAAAGTCACTATGGATAGCTTCAATATTATTGACAAATGTTTGCATTTTACGTTATTTTTGTCAAAAATACCTTTTGTTATGAGATTCTTATATGGAACACGTTCAACCCTTACATTTAGGTGGATGATACGTCCACAATCTGAAAATATGAAGGGACTATTATTACCCTTCGGAAGCAAAGCCTCTAAAATTAGCATTACTTTCATAAACGTGTCAAAAATACCTTTTGTTATGAGATTCTTATATGGAACACGTTCAACCCTTACATTTAGGTGGATGATACGTCCACAATCTGAAAATATGAAGGGACTATTATTACCCTTCGGAAGCAAAGCCTCTAAAATTAGCATTACTTTCATAAACGTGATTAATGAGATTCCAATATATATATATATATATATATATATATATATATATATATATATATATATATATATATATATATAGGAATCTAGAAAACGCATAAAAAACTGTAGTATAGAATCAGGGGCAGGGTTAGTACCTCATTTATTTGCCACCATAGAAAATTCCATCATATCTGATCTTGTTAGAAAGTCAATCATCATATGGACCTAGTATATGGAGATCTAGCTGAAGGCCATTGAGATAAATAGTTTCAGAGCAGGTAGTTCTCCAGAACAAAGATGTGGATTTCCTCTTTACAAATCAGATTACAACAAATAAGTACATTCCAATGGAAGAAAATTCAATGAGGCAATTTATCGAAGATGTTATGAACATCATCAAAGTCTTTTTCAATAAAAAATTTACATATGAATTCATCACCCAAAATGCTTCACATCATAGCGATAAAAAAAAAAGAGAAGAAAAACATGTACTGAAATAATAAGGGCTGACTAATCGTGAAGGAAATTCATCCATTGTTCTTCATCACCAAAATGATAAAATAGAGAAAGGAGAAACACAGAAATTCAGAAGACTTTTAAGTTAAATACGAAATAAAATTGATGAATTACGAACCTTGCTGATTCCCGAAGAAGCTCTAATGATCAATACTCTTACCTTCGGTAAAAAAATTTAGCTTCAAGGACTCAAAATTCGCAAATCCCTTTAGCTCTAGGGCTCAAAAAGACTACCTGAAACCCTAGAAAAGAAGAACGAGGAAAAAGTGAGATTGATGGTGGTGTGTGACGGCATAGATTGAGAAACGAGGCTAGCCATGTGATAAAGGCGGTATAGGAAAATAGGAGAAGATATATAGAAAAGAAGAAAATTCATACCGTCGTCATCAATAACTTAGACATATCTAGTTATTGGCGCCACCGTAGAAGAAGGGCTATGCAGCATATTACCGGGGCGATGGGAACCAAATGAAATCGTAAAGATACGTCGATTTTACTGTTGCCGGAGCTGTTGATTTAGCGTGGAGCCGAAGAACAAGTATCAGCGTCAAGCGAGAAAAATGAAAAGCAAAAATATGGATAGTCGATGGTTACAAGTAGAGATAAAGTGGTTGTACATGGAATTTGGAAACGTAATGGGGAAACCAAGATAATGGAATACAGGTTTGATCAATGTTTTAAAAAACCCGTTTTTTTAGTTGAACCGGTATGGTGACCGGTTCCCGGTTCGACCGCCGAGTGAACCGGTTTCTATATTTTCATGTTTTTTTTTTCTATTTTCTTACACATACATACATATATAAATTATGAATTTGATGTTTACAAGTTCAAACATTAAAAATACACATAAAAATAAGTTGTAAATGAATCCAAATACATTAAAATAACACATAACCATAAGTTTTAATGTTTTACATCAATCGATATACGCCAAAAAGAAAATAAAATATAATATCAAAATCAAATATAATTTTAGATGAATACAACCACATCAAAAAACTTTATAACATTTACCAAATGTTTTTATTTATAGAAAACTAAATAGATTTGGAAAAAAAAAATCATCAAAGTTTATTATGTAAATGGTTCTTTTTCATGTGTTTTTATTCGGTTCAACCGGTTTATTTTGACCGTTTCAACCGGATTTTTCTAAAAACCGGCCGGTTCAATCCGGTTTAGAAATCAATGTAAAATCGGTGATAGTTGAACCGCTTCCTCCCCCGATTCCCGGTTCAACTGGCCGGTTCAAACCGATTTTTAAAACATTGGGTTTCATAACTCCATATCTCTTAGCTAATGACTCAGGATAACACCGTCTACGGTAGATACCTTTATAGATCCGATCCGACCCTCCATCATATACCCGATCCAACAAAAAAGAAGCAAAAATCAACGAAATTCAGCTAAAATCCTACAAAAACCCACAAAAATACTTGCTTATTCACAAGCCCTTCACGTCATCCCACTTATCTATATTCTTAATGCATATATATATATATATATATATATATATATATATATATATAATTGGTGTGAACTAGTATTTTACCCGTCGCGCGTTGCGGCGGCAGTAAAGTATTTAAGTAGTAGAAAGTAAATTGCTACATGTTAATCAGGAACTTAGGAAGATTTAAGTTGACAACCCACAATAGTGAGGGGCCAAAGTCATATCCATGCTAAGCAAAGATAATCAAAACCATATTATATGTGACACGCATATAAAAATAAATAACTAAGATTTTTTTAAATTAACGAACATAAATTCAAATAATTAAAAACGTATTATATGTGTCCCGACTTATATGTAGGAAACGTGCATAAAAATAAGCACGAAAAGGTAAAAAGTTACGTTGAAACGTAGACAGACTCGAATTTATATTGACACGTACATAAAAAGAATATTTTTTTAAATTAACGGACTATAGTTATAAATTTACGTTGAAACAATTTACATCGAAACGTTGACCACCTCTAATTTATATCGACACATACGAAAGGTTACAAAATCAGAGGGTTGTAACTGTCGGAAAATAAAAGTTTAGGAAAAAAAAGAGGTGAAATTGACAGGGCCGGCCCTAGGAGATGGGCAAGTTGGGCGACAGCCCCGGGCCTCGCCAAATCTCGGGACCCTACAAATAATGGTTAGCATATATATGTATATAGTTTTTAGCTAATATAAAATAAATGACGCCGTACAAACTAATAAAAAGCATATGTAGTTTATTTGGATGAAGCGCTTCATCGACTATATTAGGCGTCCCGAGTTCGAACTTCAATTTAGCCAAAGGTTGTTTTTTCCTTTTTTTTTCGTATACGTCCCAAGTTCGAACCTCGATTTGGCCGAAGGTTGTTTTTTCCTTTATTTTTTCATATATTTTACTTGTAAGGCCTAGGGCCCAACGGTTTCTATGTATTCTATTTGTTTCCTACTTGTAGTTTGGCTAAGGGGCCAGCAATTACCATCTCTGTATTTTTCCCTCCCTTTAATATTAGTATTATTGCTATTAATTAAAATATATTAATATTAGTTTTTGTTATTAGCACTGTTTTATATCTGGGCTTTATTCAACTAAGTACTTTTGTTAACTTGAGTTCTAGAGTTCAATTAAATATGATTTAGAACTTCTTTTTTAATGAAAATTTGTAACTCAGTGTACATGCTGTATGTATATCTTTTACAGACTTTGCAATTGGAAACTTTATTTATTAATTTGTACTAATCGTAGATCTTGAAAGGAATCTCGTCACTAAAGTAAGTATTATTGCAAAAAGAGTGTTATTGTATTAACTTTTTAATTTAATAAAATTTTCCGAGATGCCATATTTCATTAACAAAAAAAAATCATTATGAGGGTCTCGTTTTTTTTTGCCCCGGGCCTCAAATCAGTTGGACCGGCACTGGAAATTGACATTTCCCAATGTTTAAATATTTATAATAGAAACATAATCCCGGGGGAGGGGGGGGGGGCTTTCAAATATGGAAATGAATTGTAATTTGTCTTGTATAATTATGATGTAAAGTGAGTGTGTATTATATTACTTGATGTAACATAAAGTATGTAAGACCTTCAATACTCTAGGGGGCATTATTGTAAATAGGTTTGTCATATTGCAATCAAACGATTGCAATTCTATTATTGTACTCGGCTCCTTTGAGCCTATAAATAGGGTCTTTGCCCATATGAAATGAGAAGCGAAATTTGAGTGTTATAGATTTGAGTTGATCTCAATCTTCTTCTGTTGAAATAGTTTTCTATTTCTGAATAGCAGAGCCCTATCCAAACATATCCAATATTATCATATAATCATACCCAAACAACCCATCGTCAATCCATCCCGACGCATCATTCAGGTATAATTCTATCCTAATCATATTATTTTCGTCATGTCTTTAAATTTGGTATCAGAGCTAAGTAACGTTCTTATTATTCTTATTATTAGTTTGCATATTCAATCTATCGTTAGTAAGAATACATATATATGCAGCATCATAAAAAATAATCATTGTTTTTAAATATTCATATCGTCGTTATTAAAAAATCAATTCACCAACAATTAAAATAATTATCGTAAGAAGGTTTAATATCATAAACATGTCTCAAGAAATAGAAAACTCACCAATAGTTATTAATAACGAAGAAAATGAATCTGGATACACTTTTGATGCTTTAATCAATAAAAATAATATCAATAAAGATGCTATAAAAAAATCAAATTTTACACTATCCGAAAAACATAATTTTAGACATAACACATTAAAAAATTTCTTTTCTAGAAAAAATATTATATATTATGGAAAAATTATAGGAGAACGAGCAATACCTATAGAATCAACTCAAGGAAATATAACTATACCCATAATAAATAAACAACAAATTAGAAATAGATTATCTCATATCAAAGAAGCAGATAGAATAAAAATTGCTTATATTCATATATCAACTATTCAAATAATTCTAAAAAGTACTTTCAACGATTTAGATACACCAATAGAATTAGAAATAAGAGATGATCGTATAATTAATAACCAAGAAAGTATTATTGCAAAAGGAAAAGGTAATTTAATTGAAGGAAAAATAAAATTTGATATTAATATTCAATTAGGATTAAGTCTTAAAGATAAAAATCTAAGTAATAGCATTACTGTACGATATAAATTATTAAGACAAAATTTTATGATAAAAGGCAATCATCCATAAAGATGCTATAAAACTTTACAAAACATCAATTAATAGAAATTTATAAATCAATCCTAAAATGAGTAAAAGAAAAATAAATATTAACCCAAACAGTACCTTTATTACAACCAAAATGAGTGAATAGATGATTGCCTTTTATGTGAATGTAGTGTCCGGGGAATTTTGCTTGGATCATATATAGATTTTTTTTCCCTAATTTTTCTGATGTTTATGAGTTTTTTTGAATCATATATAGATTTTTTTCCCTAATTTTTCTGATGTTTATGAGTTTTTTTGAATCTATGCATGAGAAGGAATTGGATTGGGGTTTTATTATGTTGGTTTAGTGGAATATTAAAAACATATGAATTTGTATAACCAGTTACATGCTAACTAGCCACATCAAAAGTATAAGAAAAAACTAGATGAACCATGCAAAAAACCATCGTCAATTAAACATGGGTTTTAATTCCAAGTTCATGATGAGATATTTGTAGTAAAGTAATAGTTCCTCTTATTAAGACGGTCTTTCTATTTGAGATGAAATATAGGAAATTTTTGTTAAAAATTTCTCTTAAATATATGAACGATTTTTTTCACCGAAAAAATATAAAGAGAAATGTATATTACTCTTACTAGGTGTGAGGCCCGTGCACTACACGGGTTTATTAAAAATAAAAAGTTTAATATCAATATGTAAACATTAAACATTTTATAAAGTAATTGAAAAAAAAAGTTAAATCAATGAGTTTATAACATTTATGTGGATTTATTCTCAAATTAATAAAATGATAACCTTATACGAATAAAATGAGAACCTTTCATATATATAACCGTAAATTCTGGAAATTTAATAAAAGAAAGAAAAACCTCAAAAAATGACAAATGAAAAATAAAAAAAATAAAAAAAAACCAAAAAACGCCACGTGGCAAAATGAAGAAAAAGAAGACATGTGGTAAAAAAATACTTTCATTTATTAGAAAGGACCCAAGAAAAATTTTCCATTTCAAGAAACATTCATTAGATTGAATGGTTCTCAAGAAAAACTTTTCAAGAAAAATTTTCCATTTCAAGAAAAACTTTCATTTTTGTTAATAATCTATGTTGATATTAATTAATAGAGGACAAAAAATTAAGATTTTTGGTATAGTTAGTTTTTTTGGATAAAAATAAACTTAAATATCGAAAAAAAACAACAAAACAAAGAAGGTTTTTTCGAAAAGAAAAAAAAGTTTGTTTTTTATATATCAACATGAATCTCTATGGAAAGAGGACAAAAAATCGTGAACAGCGGTATATTCGAGTTTTTTTTTTTTGATAAAAAACATGGCCTAAAAATAATTTAAACAAAAAAAGAGATGAGTTTTTTATAATCCAGTGTATGTGCGTCCAATATACAAGTGTACATCTATTTATTGGTCATTGATCATTATGATTTCCGACGTTCACGATTGTTTCCTTGGTTTCTTTTT